ACTCCTTTAGAGTAGTACAAAGTAGGTATGATTACAAAGTAATTCATAAAAAACTATATTACCATTTTATTGGTTTATTTTTTGTTTAGATCAGTTAATTAGGTAAGAGTAGTAAATTAAGGGTTATATCTGTTATTGCATTGTTGAAGTGTTCCTGGCTATTTAAAATAAATTATGTCAGTAGAGATATTTTTTAAAATAATTTTGATTGTTGACCAGATCAAAGTAATAATATAGTCATCGTTAAGTGGCTGAGTGAGTGTCTGCAAAATAATTTTACGTACTAGCGTTTAAATAATTTGAAAAAATTGATAGAAATCGACATTTTGTGGTCTGTAGGAAGGAAACCATTTACTTAAATAGAAATTGCATGTCAAATATGAAAAGTGTGTGTCATTAACTTTTAGTGTCGAAGTTGAATAAACTCGATGTCCAATGTGCTGGGTCGAGTACAAAAACAAATAGCATGAATTTTTCATATCCGTGTTTAAATTATTTCAACCTTATCACAAACATAAATAGCTTCCATCAAAGTATACATTTTAAAATGGTTGTTAACCCTAGAACGCCCACAGCATGTATACAATTAAGGCGATATTGCACAAAAACGCGCCTCTTGCTTGGCTGGTTTGTTTGTCGAAACGAGGTGACACAAAGCGTTACAACTCGAAAGTCCCGCCCCTTTAACAAGCGAAACGTCGTATATACATGCAATTTAATAAATGCAATGAAAAGTTATTCAGGTCATATCGTCTAAATAAAATAAGCGCAATTATGCTTCTGCTCTGGCAACTGAGCTAGAAAAACCTGCTAATACCTCAAAACGCACAACCTATTCTTTAAGAAATAAAGCCCGTGTTACTCATACAACATGTTGACGCGTAAATGGTACTACTATCGACAAGATAAACATCAGTTTAATACACTATTAATATTTATTAAATTCCTTGCAATTTATTGTGTGTTTGCGTTTTAAATCTATAAAATGAATGGGGTTTTCTTTGATGTTTTCATTTTTATCCGTGCCGTGCTATTTAAATTAAAAATTACTGCTGATGTATACTTTCGTGTAAAATATGTTTATTGCCGCAATTATAGAGCAAAAAAGCTCAATAAAATCATACAAATTAATTTTTATTCTCTTTTAACAATACAAAGTGAACAATTAATAAATTACTTCGTAGTCGTAATTTTATTTTAAAAATGATATTTGCTATTTCACGTTTTAATGTACTTTACAATTTCCGATTACATTTTTTAATTGAACAAATGTAAAAAAGTCGTTCGAACCGCAAAAAGGATCATTGCAATACAAGATTTTATTAACCTTTATCTTTAAAATTTATATTATATTTCAATGGAAAATTTTTTAAAAAAAAATTTAAAATATTCATTTAATTGGTTTAGTTAATATTAACGTTTGTTTTGAAAAGCCTTTGGCATATAATACTTTTTATTACAGTGAATACTCTGTAAACCGGCGTTTTCATTAACTGACATCCGTCTGCACCGCACTATGTGCTAGTCCTCAGTTTTCTTTTTTCATGCAGTATATATTCTTTTAAATGAGCAGCTCTCTCGACCAAATGAAATTTCTGGTCACTTCTATGTCCACTGAAGAGACCTTTCACTGTATTTTTAATTTTAAGTGCGTGTCTAATACTTATATATGAAGTGTTAAAATAATATTTGCTAATTAATGCATATGCCCTAAAAAATACATTTTTATATCAAATGAAATTAAATATCCTCCAGAATAGCCACACTCCCAATTGGTATAAAATTGTGCATATGTGGACTATGTGCACAATTTTATTTTCTAAAAACTCGAATGAAATGATTCTGCGCTTTCAATTAGCGTCAAAAAATACAAGTCCTGCAGCAAATCTCATATTTTTATACACAACTTCTGTACAAATTTCAAAATTTGCATTCACACAAATATTTTTTAATTTTTTTCCACCTGTTTTTCAATTAAATTATCAACTTAAAGTTGAATTCTTTTTATTATGCTCTTCACACTAATGTGAATATGGAATATGTTAGATTTGTAACGTAACTCTCTGATGGAGTAAAAGTCTACACTCGTAAGTGTAGACTCTATAAAATAAAGTCTATAAATAAAATAAATTATTTGACTCATAGTTTGTTGGTAGAGCTAGATCTACAGCGACACCTCTAAGGATTAGATTGCTTAAGGTTTTTAATGACAATACATTCACATTACTTAAGATGTGTGTAAAACTAGCAAATTTTAATAGGTAGTTCACTTCAATATCAGGTAAGAAGTTTAGTCTCTCTAAACTAGTAGCTTCAAAAACTTTTGTCGGATTTTTGAAATAGCCCCATAGAAACAGAAATAATTCTACAGAGCTTCAATGGTTTTCGGTTCATGCATTTCCTGGATTAAACACTTCTGGTAATATATCGCTTACGTGTATGTGTTGCAATCAAACAGTGCCATTCAAAAAGACCAGCTTGCATACTGTAGTTCTTTAGATCGATTGATTGTATATGATTCCAACCATATTGCAGGTGGTTAAGTTTCCGTTTTTTCAGTATGTACTTGTATTTTGAGTCAAAACCTAAGTATCTCATTTGCCCGATTCACTGAAATATTAACAAAAATTTTAACAATATTATGAATTATTTTATTTTCCTAACTATACACAACCTAATGCTGTGAGTTAAAAGATGTCCAGAAATGAATAAATTGTTTTTATGGACGCTTAAATAGTCAAGCGTCCATAAAAAGTTTGTTGTACTTTTGGTTGCTTCTTTTAAAGAAATAAGTTCTACCGCTCTTCTGCCGCACAAAAAAAAAAAAAAACCGCTCTTCTGAAAGCAAATAGTTGTGCGTTAAAATTCTAACTGCAGCCGGGAAGTTTATACGACTCTTGATTTCTATAAAATTATTAATTGATATATGAACTCATATACACTTTTTAATAATACAACATAATATCTTTATATTATATTGTATGTGTATTCGATGGTATGACTAAAAATTAAATTATTTGTATATGAAATTTAGAAAGCATCTAGTAAATAACTGATTTGTTACAAAATGATTAGTATCATTTTAAGTCAACATTAGTTTTTATTTGTTTTCTCTTAATTGCTTCATATAATTTTAAAATAAATATTGCATTTAAAATTAATTTTTTTGCATAAAAAAACACGTAGCGCAAATAGTTTTCAATGACCAGCACACTTGCACAGTATTTAAGGGTCCCTCCCTAATGTGATATATTGCTCATATGTTAACTAAGTACAAGTTTGCATATATCCGTACATTTTTTTGTACATTACCCTACAATACCGTGACGGGTTTGCTATATAAAAAAAGTATATGTGTATTTAAAAAAGTCCTTGCTTTTTATCCTTTTCCCAACAGCACATTTTATGTTTATAGTCCGGTAAGTGCGAAAAAACTCTCATGTAAAAAGTTATAAAAGTACCACAAGGAATACTGCAATTCAAACAACGCTTTCTGCACTTAAAAAAATGTTTGTTTTTGTTGGCTTTTTCTACTTAGACAACATTTTTATTATAAATAATTTGGGACATATTGTAGCAATTATGTTTTCTAATTATTAATATGGGTGATGCGATGTCGAAATCAATGTTGATCTTAAATTGTAATCAGATATTTAAACTTAAGAAATTTACATGCCACACTACTGAAATAGTTGAGGACCCAAAGGAACTTTACTTATTGATTTTTAAATGTTCTATGATAGAAAAGAAAAATGTACATATGTTTTCGTTAACCACTTAAAAATAAGAAGAATAGTTTCGAATTCTTATTTAAGGTTATAAAAATGAATGATATTCATAAATAAACAAATAATGATGTTTTTCCAATAACCAGTTTCTCAGTTATAAAACTCAACAACGATATAGAGTAAAGTTATCTCTGTGCTCTTCGATACGTTCCCACTGCACCTTATTTTTTCGAAGAGAGGTACCTAAATACAACAACTCTAAAAGGAAATCGCAAATAAAAGTAAAAGTTATACATTTTTAGTTACTGTAAACGAAATATATAGTTTCTGGCGGAATATATAGTTTCTACTTCTAAAGAACCAGAAAGATACATACTACATACGCTCTCACTCTCTCTTTATTTGTTTTGTGTGGATCACTAGATAGGTATGTGATCTATCTGTGATGAGTGGTAGAACTGTTCAATATATTTTCCGCTAAGAATTCAAGTTTGTAATCAGATTTATAATCATTATAATGTAGAAGTAATGTCGTATATGCTATGTCTTATATTTAACGAAATAATACAGCAGTCTCCATATCAAACACACCTCTTTTATAGTTAATTCAAAATACATATCACATTATCTCTTCCATAACTTTGTTATATTGTTGTAGTTAATCAACAATAAGTGCAAAATTTATTAAACCTAATAACTTCATTACTAGAAAATTTTCATATTTATCGTTTATTTATTAAAATTCTCTTCCATTTGAGGAAAAAATATCAATGAAAGTTTTGCATGTCGCATGCAATTCAAAACGAAAATTCCTTTGCAAACAAACGTTCTATTTCTATTTATTTCTGTAAAGTATTTTTTATTAATATTTTTTTTTTATTTTGCAGTATTGAGTAGCTTTTTATTTCCTGGTTAGAAATGTTTATTTTTATGAAATTTATTTTTCTCTCTTTGCTTTGAAAATAAATTTTTAACGCCACTTGTTACGATTTTGTTTTCCGTATTTTCCATATTTTCCGTATTTCTGTTGTATTTGTGTAGTATTTCTGAAACTAACAAATATTAAATAAAAATGTTTCTTATCGCATAAAACACACACAATGGACAGAGGCACTTGCATGTTTTTTAGCCGTACAAATTGTATTTGCCTTCAAATACAATACGATTGTTCAAACAAAATAAATGAATAATTGCCACAACAGCTCCTCCTAAAACAATTTAATATTTTTCATTTTGGTTTTTTAATTTTTTTCACTTTTCATCATTTTTTAGCGTCTGCTCCCGTTATGGAGAAGCCGCCTCAAAATGTAACCGCGCTGGATGGAAAGGATGCGACCATATCTTGTCGTGCTGTGGGAGCACCAAATCCCAACATCACTTGGATTTTCAATGGTAAGTTTACAAAGTCATCCCAAATAAATATTTGAGTTTTTCAAGCTCAGATTTATGTTTGATAAAATATATACTAATATCATATATACTAATATATTTGTTTATATTTGCATATAAAAATTTTGAAAAGCTGCAAGTATCTATGTACATTTCTAAATCTATATGTTCATTCCATTTTATTTAATTACGAAATTTAATTTTAATAATTGCTGGTATTTTATGTTTATTTTATTATTTTTAACATTTATTTTATCATACAAAGGAATTGATTTTTGGGAGATTTTATTAATGTCAATAAATTAATAAAAAAAATAATTTAAACAATTTTGAACAGAAAAGATACTAATTTATGGTACATATGTGTGCCTGTCGATTTAATTTATTTAAAATTTAAACTATGTAAGCTCGTTGTTATACCGCATGATTCTAGTGTAACCCAAAATTTATGAGTTATGAGTGTATATGATATATATTTCAAATATTAACAGACGCTTGGATAAAAAGGCTATATGTATTTAATAAGTTATTTGTCTTGTTTATCGATACGCCATCTACAGTAATTATTCAATAAAGTTTGATTAGTTGTGCCGTAAAAGCTAGGCTTTCTTATAATGACAAAAAACCTATTATATAAAATTTAAAGAGTTTTGAATAGCAAAGAAACAAAAGACAAACAAATTATATACGGATTATAAACTAATTAAGAAATTCGAATATTTCCTAAAATCACTGAAGATGAGTACTTGGCAATACTCAAAACAGCGTTGTATGGTCAACCAAATTTCAATAAATTAACTAAATCTTTGTGTTTGTCCTTTCTTTCTTTGCTATTCGTAAGCCTCTAAATTTGAAGTAAATGCTAAATGCTAAATAATTAAATGCAATAATTGTATATACTTACTTTACTATCTTACTATGTAGTCTGATACACACTTGTGAGATTTAAAATATTTTCGCTTCACTTGAATAAAGGCCGCTATAATTTCATTTCAACTAGATAATTTTGTTTTCTCTGAAAACATGTGTTATTGATAATAAATTTATATAAAATCCATTTTATTTATAGAGATTTTGGTGATAGATCTCTCTTTTTGCCAACTCATAGTTTCGTCTTATATCAATCTGCTCCAAAACCCATTTGATGCAGATATCAAACTTCAATTTTTCCTATTGTAGTTGATGTCCTGTTAATGTGTTTTATTTTTTTGGAGTCCAAAACTTCATTTGCTAACTGCATGACTGTCAATGACAAAATCCACATGCGTATCTTCTTGATTTCGAACTTTTGAATTTTAGTTCGTTTGGAATAATAAGGTTTTCTAATTAAAAGAAATTACCAATATAAAACTGTTATATAAAAGAGTTCTTAAAACTGGAAAGAGTTCTGATTTCTGATTCTTTCTAAACTTTTACGATATTTTCACTCTTATTTGACGATATTGATATGAAATGTTCCTAAAAGTTTATTTTTGAGATGGGCTTTATTCTGAATCTAATTTGAGCTCAATTGAACTATCGGAACCCCTTCCAAATTTTTGGTGAAAAATGAACCATTTTCAGAAAAACTATGATAGATAGAAAGTGAATTTTGATGCCCGAAAAATCTGCGTTATAATACATATACAAGTTTTTCATGGTATTCCGCCTACTGAGACACCCACCCACATACAAAATATTCATAAAAAATCGTTCATTATCGTTAAAAAAAAATTTTTTTACTCTTATTAGACTATATACATTTATTACGTACATAACAACACAACTTTATGCAAAATTTGGGCGTGATTCGTCCATTAGTTCTTAAGTTATTTGCGGTTTTATGCAACTTTAACGAAATTGGTATTTCGTAAAAATTGGGCGAAATTCAAACCCTTATAACTGACTTACTCTTTATTCCAAAATGATCATTTTTACATGGTGTATAAAAAAGGTTTCAATTTTATTTATCAATAAAATTTAATTAGTGAAATTGCATAAGCAAAAAAACAGCAAAAAAGAAGCAAATTTTTTTATAATACATAAATTTTTAGATTTTCCATATTGCGAGTTATATTTTTAGGTTAGATAAGGTTATACCGGCGGTCCAAGGGGGATCCACTTAGCCCCATAGGCCCATTGTGCCACTGCATTATTAAAAACCCAAAGGCTAAAACCATCTAGAACCTTTGGCAAATAATGCTATTTAAAGCGAGGTCTTGAAGTTCGCCAAGATCCTTAAAAAAGAAAGCCCCTAAAAGGTTAAGTTAGCGTCGCGCATGAGCCGGACTGAAGTAAAAGAGGTGGGAGGCATTTTCATCATCCTTACCACAACTGCGGCAGATATGGTTGAAATGGAGATTTAGTCTCCCAGTTTGGTTTCCTAGAATACAATGACCTGTTAGTAAGCCTACTGCAAGACTGATATCTCTACGGTCCATCTCGAGTTCGATTTTCTTCTATTGGCATTTGACCAAATTGCATACAGATGCCTGCATATCGTAGAGTCTTCCCACCTTTTATTAAAAAGTTCAGCACAGGTGGAATTTAATACCAATTCGCAAGATGTCAACGATATGCCCACATTGTTTAGGTGTTCCGAGTTGTTTCCTGAAGCACCCCGTCTGGCTAGCTCATCTGCTTTGCAGTTTTCGAAAATATCCCTATAACCAGGAACCGAGATTAGAGATATATTGAACTGCGTTGATATCTCATTTAGAGATGTTTAGCAGTCAAGGACTGTCCTAGATGTAAATTGGACTGAACTCAAGGACTTTAAGGCAATTTCACTATTCGACAGTCTATACATATTCCTTTCAAGTATATTATCTACTTCTAGACAAGCTAAAGCTTTATGGCACTCACCTTTGCCTAAAAAACACTGTAGTGATCTGGAAGCCTTAAGTTATATTTTTAAAAAAATTAAAAGAAAATTATGATTAAAGTAGTAAATATTACTTTGTATGAAAAAATAAATGTGTGCTTGTTGAAATCTAACCTAAACAAAATTTATTTTTCTTTAAAATTTATTTAAAATTTATTTTTGTTTTTCTTTTAAATTTTTATTTCTTTAAATTTTTTATTTCTTTTAAAACTAATCGAATTGTTTATTGTGTAATTTATTTATATGCAAAAAGTATATATTAAGCATTTTTAACTTTATACATTTTTTCTAATATATTTGTTTAATATTTTGATATATTTAAAATATCTTAATCAACCAACTAACGATAATGCCGATGCGTGTCAAAAAACTAACATCTAAAACCACCAAATTTGATGCCTAAAACTAACAACGCCACATCGCTTTTATCACATGACCAACCCATGCATTCCAACTATTGGCGCTGTTGTTGATGCTCGCACCAATATCGATCCCACTACGATTATTGCTTTTGTTAATGTTAATGCTGTTGTTATCATTAACGCTGATATTCCTGTTGTTGCTGCTAATGCCAATGCTGCCGCTGTTGCCGTTGCAACCACTCGAAAAATGCACATCTCTGCAATGAATATTTTATGAACGCATAATTTATGGTAATGAATATCGTCGTCATCCTGCGTTTCCTGTTACGGAAACACTCGTCGCCATTTTGAACTTTCTACCGTCTTTCATTGAACGCACAACACTTTCATGACAACAAAACCAAATATAACGGATATGCATCATTTGCGGATCTTCCGTCATTTGTACTGTCAACACTTGCCATGGCGATTTCTGTTGCTGTTGCTGTTGCTGATGATGGTGTCGATGCTGTCGATGCTGTTGCCTGTGTCTGTGTCTGTATTTGTATTGGTGTCGGTGTTGGTGTCGGTGGCAATTCTACAACTGTAACAACAATAATATCAACATTCTCGTGAACAACATTATTATTTCCATACATTTCTGAAAACATTAAACCACGAAAATTATAAATAACATTGCGAATGGAATAACAATAGAGATGCAACTTGTTGAGATTTCGAGTCGCGTTCAAATTCTGGAATCTGGTGATTTATTAATTTCGAATATACGCGAATCGGATGCTGGTCTATATACTTGTGTGCGCTCCAATGAAGCCGGCACTGTTAATGGTGAAGCATATCTTGGAGTTATGGGTGAGTAGCTTGATGGCTGGCACGCGCGCCCTGCATTGCCCTTTCCACTGCAAATCCTAACAGCAGATGAACTGCACTGCACTGCACTGCACGCAAATGATTGTTTTAGTTTCCCTTGTTAGTATAAATATTTTATTTAGCATTTAATTTTTTTTGCTGCTTTGAGGGCTTGTTTTTTAAATGTTTCATAAATATTTTATTAATAATTTGAAATGCTACTAAAAAATAATTTATTGTTAGTAGTTTCGAAACGAAGTTCTGCTTGATTGAGCGTATTTGTTATTTTTCAATTAATTTACAATTCATTTTATATTCAGATTTCAATCGAAAAACTAAAACATCTGTTAAGATAAAAATATTTGACAGTTTTGTATGTTTAGATTGATTTTAAATTCTGCTTTTACGGGTTCAATTTGCTAGATTTATTTCAATAAAAAGAATTAATGAAAAACACAGTTTATTTAATTAAAACTACAATTTTAAAATTGTTATACATATATAAAAGTTTGGTGTCTTTTTTTAAAATGAAACTTTTCTACCGCATCATAAAATACATATATCAAAAACATTGTACTCTATTTTATTGACTGTTAAGCTTTTATTAGTTATAGTTTTATTACTGCATTTACTAAAAGATACATTCAACTTCTCACAATTACAATTGCCTTCTTTAATGATATCATTTGACAAAATGCACTCTTTATATTGTTTATGTTTTTTATTTACTAGAACATTGATTTGACTTCAATCTAATCATAACTACCATATAAGTATGGATTCAATAAGTTATAAAATACATTTAATTCTTATAGTGCGCATATTACATGATTAAAAATTACAAAGTCTTTAGGTTGGATTGGAGTGGCAGAATTGTGGACCAAAGCTGACTTGAGTACAAGTAATGGCTTTGGCTTTTTATGATACCACGGATGAGCCACTGTCCGTCATGTAGAACTAAAGACCACCTTAAAGGTAGTGAGTTAAAAAAGTAAATTCCAAAAATTTTTAATCTGAGGTAGAATATAGTTGCATTTCCATCCGTAGAGCCATGATAACGGCAAAACTCATTATAAGGTACACCAACTCTTTTTGCCTGTCTCTTCTCATATGCACTGGCCTGTCAGCACAGCAAACATAGTCCTGACTTTGTTATGCTTTAGTTGAAGCAGCTGAGTTGTGCGAATTTGTTTAAATCTGGCAGGAATATTGTTGTTGTTGTTGTAACCCGTGGGAGATGTTGAACAGCACTTAGTAGTCTGGATCGACGAGTGACTCTGGGATGTAGACCCAGCCATTTTTGGAACACTCTTTAGTATGCAGGACTATTCATCACCTCGGCTTTCATTGCTGACCCGAGGTATTGACGTTTAATTGCCAGTTCAGGTGTATGCAAATTTTTTGAATTAGTGAAAACAAAGTATATTTAACTTCGTATTTAATATTTTAAAAAAATTTACTTAATAAAGACACATAATTCTCCTGTATTCAAAGTCCATTTACTTTTTCACTTATTAAACAAAGTTCTCTTCTTAATGAAATGACATTAATATTTAAAAATTGTGAATGCAAATTATGGAAAATATTCTAGAAGAAATCCATTTTATTAATCCCGTAATAAAAGGAACTTATAAAATAATTTCAATCAGGATATTACAAATATAAATATGTTTTCATAAGCTGTAAATAAATTTCCATTACGAAAAAATCCTTTCTTTTCAATATACTTGGCAAAAGGAAATTCTGTGTTTAAGTGCAGACGCTCAAAGTGATGCGATTTAATAGACTTATAGACTTGCTTATATTTATTTCGAAAAAAGGAAATAATTTAATAAAAATATGCCATTTATTCGCATATTTCTATTCAAAGCAAATCCACCGCACAAATCTGCATTTTAAGCCTATTTGCTTGCTGATGGATATTCAATAGTTTGCACGTAACTCGCAGCTTTCATATGCAGGCTGATGTAGTGCAAAGAGAAAAAAATATTATCGGTGGAAAATGAACATTTAATTTCCTTACTTTTTCATGCAGTGACTAATAAATTTTTTTCTTTTTGTGTTCTATGTGTTTTTTTTTGTTTTTTTGTATATTAGTGAGGACACAAATCATACAACCACCGGTGGATACAACAGTGCTGCTGGGACTTACTGCTACACTGCAATGCAAAGTCTCCAGCGATCCAACAGTGCCATTCAATATCGATTGGTATCGCGAAGGTCATCCAATGCCAATCAGTAATTCACAGCGCATTGGCGTACAAGCGGACGGCACTCTGGAGATACAAGCAGTACGCGCCTCCGACGTTGGCACTTATTCATGTGTGGTTACATCGCCAGGTGGCAATGAAACGCGGTCAGCGCGATTAAGTGTCATCGAACTGCCGTTTCCACCAACAAATGTTAAAGTTGCGCGCTTAGATGCACCAAACCAACGTACCATCAACATATCATGGACACCGGGTTTTGATGGCAACAGTCCAATATTAAAATTCATCATACAACGCCGTGAAGTATCAGAACTAGGTAAGTGATTTGGAAAAAAAAAAATCTATAAAGTAAAATTTTATGTAAATAAATGTTCATATTTTTTTCTTACTTTATTTATTTTTATGCAGTTTTTTTTTGTTTTTTTTGGTGGTTTCTGAAAGTGTTAACTACAAAAATGTATTAATTGTGTGAACAGACAGCGGAATGATAAAATGGTAAAGTTGAGTACTCTTTTATCGTGTTGGTGGATAAAAAGAAAATGGAAATAATTTTCGAAAAAAAAGAATAAGTTTTTGATTAAGGTCAAATGAAAGTGCAAATTTATGTCCGCCAAAATGGCGAGACTAAACCGAAAGAGGGAACCCGTCAAAAAATGAGGTTATATAAATTTTCTAACTATTTGACTTACTGGCCTAATGTGTTTACTTTTATTTAGTTCAAATTTGTATCTTTGTGACACATCTAATGTTCACATCTAATTGAAATCTATTATAACAAGTACCTGAAAATTCCATTTTCTTATCAATTATGTGATCTAACAATAATATTTGTTAAATAATAAAGAAAGAAAAAATTGAATTGAATTTATAAAAACAGATTTAGAATTCTCATTTCTTATTGTAATTTACAAAATGCTTTGAGTATTTATTATTTTATAAACTGGTTACTCCAAATTTACAAGACAAGTATTAAAAAAAAAATTAAATTAGATTTAGATTTTTTATTTATCATTGTTTCCTTAAGACAATATCAGTTCTTAGGAACCTGTCCTGTTGTAGATCTTGTAAATCGTGTTAATCGGCGCTTGAGTAGTAGACACCAAAACACATGTCTTGTTATTGTACAGGTTGTAACGACACGAATACGTCGTTTAATTTTACTGAGGTGTCACTCAGTCGAGGTCCGGGTCGTTGCAATAAATTTGTTTATTGATTAGTTCGAGAGCTAGTTAATAGGCTAAGAAGAAAGAAAAACTGTTGTTTATTTTCGTTCTTTATTATAAAACTTCCAATACAAGGTTATAAAAGAATTCTAGTCTATCGTGTTATAATTCTAAGAGGTTACAATAGGCTATAGCCTAAACCATCAAAATGCCTACAGCGTTATAAAAACATTGGTTAAAATACAAAGATTTTAACCAATGGCATCAAAATGCCGGTAGCATTATAAACTACTAGTCTACAATTGATCTAGCCTATAGTCAGCAAAATCAAAATACTATTCACATGGAAATTGCCTGGCGACCTAGCGATGATGTAGATGTCTACTATATTCGGTGTGCTGGCGCTAAGTGATCTTTCATATAAATTTGGCGTCTATTTATATGAAAAATCACCCTTATTTCGTTCGTTGCATGCACATCCGCACAACTGTAATTCTTCGTACGTCCAAAGGTTGATGCATTTATTGCTTTAATTCTTACATAGGTTTGCGATGTAATGGCTCTGCCGCGAGTATCAACCTTTTTTTGAAGCTCGTCTTTCTTGTGCTAGGTGTGCATGCAGGTATTTGCTGTTGCGTTCAAAAATTGGTTCATTCAATTCATGAATAAAAGATGCATAGACGTGGTTTTTAGTATTTATAGGGTGTTTGTATTTGCACAAATGTCCGTTCTTACAAGGCTTATCAAATTTCTTCTTAAAATTGACTGGCGACGCACTCTTTATTTCACTTAATTACACAAAAAGCGGTCAAATACTTGCATTTATAAATATATTCGACTGTTTCTATAATCTTCAACCTTCTACCCAAAATTTCAAGAAAAACGAAATCAATTAGATAATCAAGACGGATTAGTTTTTTATTCCACTTCACCCACCTAACTATTATTTGTCTACACAGATATTCATATTCCATACTTCTGCGTTTATATATAATATTTATTAATTTTATAAATAATATTTAATAATTATAGATAAATAAGTGTTCCTATGAAAAATAATTTACATAATTTGCATTTATCTTCATTCTAAGCGGCTATATTTTGCTTTATACTATATAATACATAGTATACGTCTTACGTCGCTTAAAAGAAATGATCGACTGCATACCAAAAACTTTCATTTCCATCTACAATAAAACCATTTACATACCGCTGTCTGTTTCATATCTTAAATAATTTGATTCGAGTGATATTAAAATGTTTCTTATATTATGAAAGCACTTAAAATAAGTACAATAAGTACAATAACAAATACAATACAAGAACAATATTTTACCAAACAATTTTTAACAAAAACGACATAAATTTTTTTCTTTCTTTTTCTCATACTCTGACACGCATACAAACATGCAAAACTACACATGTACCACCCACTACATCCAAATGGCTTTCCATGGATTTCTTCTGAACACTCTTCATACAATCTACAAACTAAAAAATATTTCAATATTTTTTTCTTTCATAACATATTTGGGTCAATCCTTTAAAACAATACAAAATATATTTGTAACAAATTCTTCTTATTTTTGTACTCAATTCACAAAACTGCACTTTATATATTCTGACTTGAATTTTGCACTAATATTCCCTTGTGTCCCAACTGCACTTCACTTCTTTCACCACTGTTTTTGACTATTTTTCTTTTATTCTATATTAAAATTTTATATTTTCTACACTTCACTTCATGGTTATTGGTTATTTATTTAATAAACGCACTTCATTTTTTATATGTTCCTTAACCTGATTTGTTCCCTTCAACTCGTTTTCAACTCATTAACATCACAGAAAAATTCGTAGGTCCAGTTCCAGACCCTTTACTAAATTGGGTAACCGAATTGAGTAATGTGTCGGCTGAACATCGTTGGATTTTGCTGAAAACACTTAAAGCTGCTACAGTTTATCAATTTCGAGTCAGCGCCGTCAATCGTGTTGGAGAAGGTTCCCCTTCCGAGCCTAGTAATATTGTGGAGCTACCACAAGAAGGTAAGCTTTACTTTTTTTTACACTTATTCCAATGATTTTAGAGGGTCACAAATAGTGTAAAGTTTCACATACGTTATTTATCGAAGGACCAAATAATTGGAGATAGTTCGCTATTTGTGCACTCTATAATATTCTGTTTAGTAATATTAGTTTCTTTTAATTTTATTAAATGTATACATGCTTTTTTGTTGTGTTAATTTTGTAAAATTAAATAAAAATGTTTACTTAAGTTCAAACTAACTATTTTGTGTTAATACAGATTAAAAGTTATATAATAATATACTGTAAATTCCAAGACGTTGTCAAAATTTTAATAAAGCAAATTATATAAACTAGATTGACTTAGTTGAAAAGCACTTTAAGTAGATAAATAACTAATAACTTTGTGGATGGATAAGCTATTAACTATGATTACCAACGAAATTTTAAAACAGTTAAAGATATAAAGAAGAAGATATTATGTAAAATCCATCTATATATACATTTTAGTTTTCAAAAATGAAATACATCATTTTCTAAAACACATTCATCTTTCGTCTATTGAGTAAAAAAGATAACAATTAATATATAAAGAAATTAATATTTCGCCAAGAACATCACTTATTAAAAAAATATCTTGAAACGGTTTTTGTGTATTTTTTTATTCTGGCTGTACGTCCCTTAAATTTAGAAAATTTTAATGTCTTTAAACTTTATTTAAAAAAAACGATTTTGATAATTTAGAGAAGTACAGCATTTTCTAGTATGTTATATCTACTAGAAATTCAAGAAAGGTAATGTCTCCTTTAACATGCTTTTAGATAAAGTGGTAAGTTAGGGAACACAATTTCTAACTTAGGATGTAGATTTATGTTAAGTACATTTATTTTTTGTATCAAATATATATTTTTCGTATATATTTTGTATCATATATATCATATATAATTTATAAATCGGTTTTTTAAACACAATGCAGATAGTGTCAAATTAATCGATATATTACTAAAAAATATTACAGTTTTGATATAAATACAAAACTAATTGCGTTGTTTTCATATGTTAACTAATCAGACAATCAGTCAATGTAAAATCATTTATTCAATAAATTTGAATGTAAAAACATACCATAGATCAGCAATAATTTGAGTTAGATCCAGTAAATGACTGTCACGTTCATTATTCATTAATTCCATATGTTAGTTATACGAGAATAGTTTTTATACTAAACTTTAAGTATAAAATTTTGAGGGCAGCGTACATCCTAACATATCTGTTCAGTTGCTTTAAAATTTATTATGTATTATCTCTGTACCAACGCTTCTTTTAAAAGCTAATCAAATAATCTATTAAAATAATAACTTATATTAAATGTCAGTGCACTGTTTAGACCCCATTCACAAAATTTAACAATATTTCTAGAGAGCTACAAAAATTTTGTATCAGTAAACGTTTGATGTCTATAGTAATACGTAATGTATTATTTTTCCATAATTTTTATTTTTTTTTTATAATTAATTTTATTAGAACATTTTGTAAACATACATTTTGTAAAAAACATTTTACATTGAACATTTTGTAAAAACAATCAAATTAAATCACTACAATGATAATCTTTACTAATGTTATATATCCTTTTTTGTACTTCCACTTTAAACTGGCTGTAAAATATAATTGTAGAATTACCGCTTCACCGAGGTACTTTAAAATATTCACATAAGAATCCATTCAATAAAATTAGATTTTATTTCTACACTATTTTTTTTAATAGAAATTAATAATACAATTTTTCATTTACACAGCACCATCAGGGCCACCTGTTGGATTTGTAGGTTCAGCTCGATCAATGTCAGAAATTATAACGCAATGGCAACCGCCTTTGGAAGAACATCGCAACGGACAAATTCTTGGCTATATAATACGTTATCGTCTCTTTGGTTATAACAATGTACCTTGGACATATCAGAATATTACAAATGAAGCGCAACGAAACTATTTAATACAAGAACTCATCACATGGAAAGATTATATAGTACAAATCGCAGCTTATAACAATATGGGAGTGGGTGTGTACACCGAAGGAGCTAGAATAAAAACAAAAGAAGGCATACCGGAAGCACCACCTACAAATGTTAAAGTTATTGCCATAAATTCTACTTCAGTTAAAGTATCCTGGATACCACCAAATCCACAACAAATAAACGGCATAAACCAAGGATATAAAATACAAGCTTGGCGTCATGAAATGAACGATGATGACTTGGAAGAAACTGAAGCCCGAATGATCACAGTACCGCCAAGTCTAATTGATCCACTTGCCGAACAAATTGCTATTCTAAGTGGACTGGAAAAATTCACGGATTATAATATAACAGTTTTATGCTTCACAGATCCTGGTGAAGGTGTTCGTAGCTATAAAATAGCTGTTAAAACGAAAGAGGATGTGCCAGATGAAATTACCGCTTTGCATTTTGATGAAGTTTCAGACAGATCTGTTAAAGTGTTGTGGGCACCACCGAAAAATTTAAATGGAATTTTGACTGGTTATACCGTACGGTATAAAGTTAAAGATCATCCTGAAACTTTAAAATCAGTTAATTTGACTGCTGATGATACACAGTTAACAGTTACACAATTACAAGCCACTACACATTACTGGTTTGAAATAAAGGCATGGACTAAAGTTGGTGGGGGACCTGCAAAAACTGCAACAATACAGTCGGGAGTTGAGCCTGTATTGCCACATCCACCAACAAATTTGGCGCTTTCTAATATAGAGGCATTCTCGGTTGTGTTGCAATTTACGCCTGGGTTTGATGGTAACTCATCTATTACGAAATGGAAAGTGGATGCACAAACTGCGCGTAATATGACCTGGTTTACAGTCTGTGAAATATCAGATCCTGATGCAGAAACTTTAACAGTAACGGGACTAATGCCATTCACTCAATACCGTTTACGTCTGAGTGCTACAAATGTTGTGGGCTCTTCCCAGCCTTCCGAAGCTACCAAAGACTTTCAAACTATACAGGCAAGACCAATGCATCCACCATTTAATGTAACAGTGCGAGCAATGAGTGCTACACAGTTAAGAGTACGCTGGATTCCATTACAACAAACTGAATGGTTTGGAAATCCTCGTGGTTATAACATTACATATCGTCAAATTGAAAGCATAACGAAGGTATCAGCGAAATCTGTATTAATTGAAGATCATACTGCGAATTCGCATGTGCTAGAAGGTTTAGAAGAATGGACACTTTACGAGGTTTTGATGAATGCTTGTAATGATGTGGGTTTCTCGAGGTAAATTTCATTTAACATTTCAAAGTTTGAAAATTTATAATTTTTGTTTTAATTTTTGACAGAGATAGTGCAATTGCTGTCGAACGAACACGTGAAGCGGTACCTTCGTATGGTCCTTTAGAGGTGCAAGCCAATGCCACATCCTCCACAACAATTGTAGTACGCTGGGGTGAAGTGCCGAAGCAGCATCGTAATGGTCAAATTGATGGCTACAAAGTGTTTTATGCCGCTACTAACCGTGGCGGTCAAGTGCTACACAAAACCATATCAAATAATGCTTCCTACACAACTACATTGACTGAACTAAAAAAATTCGTAATCTACCACATACAAGTACTTGCATTTACTAGACTCGGTGATGGTGCTTTAAGTACTCCTCCAGTACGTGTACAAACATTTGAAGACACACCAGGTCCGCCTTCCAACGTAAGCTTTCCAGATGTATCATTTTCGACTGCTCGTATAATTTGGGATGTACCTGAAGATCCAAATGGCGAAATCTTAGCTTATCAAGTGACATATTCATTAAATGGCAGTGTTAATCTTAACTACAGTCGTGAATTTCCACCATCAGATCGCACTTTTAGAGCAACACAATTGTTGGCAGAACGGTATTATATTTTTAGTGTCACAGCTCAAACACGTCTGGGTTGGGGTAAAACCGCCGCAGTTCTTGTTTACACTACAAACAATCGCGAACGCCCACAACCACCATCTATGCCACAAATATCGCGTAGTCAAATACAAGCACATCAAATAACTTTCAGTTGGACACCCGGCCGTGATGGATTCGCCCCACTTCGCTATTACACTGTACAATTACGAGAGAATGATGGTCCTTGGACAATACTGCCAGAACGCGTCGATCCTGCATTTACTTCTTATACTGCAATTAATTTGAAACCACATACTACATATCAATTTCGCATACAAGCGACAAACGATTTAGGTGCATCAGCGTTTAGCCGTGAAAGCATTGTAGTGCGTACACTCCCAGCAGCACCAGCAGTTGGGGTATCCAATTTGAAAGTGGTACCAATAACAACAACATCTGTACGTGTTCACTGGAATGCACTGGAAACTAGTTTGTGGAATGGAGACGCAGCAACTGGTGGTTATCGTGTTATGTATCAACAATTAGCCGATCTTCAAACAATTTCCTCAACCCCAAAAACAGATATAATGGGTATAAATGCAAATTCAATGGTGTTGACTGACCTGCAGCAAGATCGTAATTATGAAATTGTTGTGTTGCCTTTTAATTCACAAGGTCCCGGTCCTGTTACACCACCAGCTGCCGTTTATGTTGGCGAAGCTGTACCAACTGGGGAACCTCGTGCAGTTGATGCAGCTCCTATTTCTAGTACAGAAGTAAGACTTCGTTGGAAACCACCAAAGCAAAGCATGCAAAATGGTGATCTCTTAGGTTATAAAATATTTTACTTAGTTACTGACTCGCCACAAGAGTTGGAAGAGGGTCGGAAATGGGAAGAAGAAATCGAAGTTGTTTCAGCCACTGCTACTTCACACAGTCTTGTGTTTCTTGACAAATTCACTGAATACCGGGTACAGATATTGGCTTTCAACCCAGCAGGCGATGGACCACGTTCACAACCTATAACTGTTAAAACATTGCAAGGCCTGCCAAGTGCGCCATTGAATTTACGATTTGAAGATATAACAATGCAAAGCCTTAAAGTATCATGGGACGTCCCAAAATTTCGTAATGGTGAAATACTTGGATACTTGGTAACCTATGAGACAACCGAGGAAAACGAAAGTAAGTCCATTGTAAAGCTAAAGATTCAAGGTGTAGGCAAATGTTTCGAATAAATTTTACATCTGTTATAGAATTCAGCAAACAAGTGAAACAAAAGGTTTCCAACACAAATTTACTTGTACAAAATCTAGAAGAAGAAGTTACTTATACATTTACGGTACGAGCACAAACCATTGACTATGGTCCAGCTGTTAGCGAAAATGTGACAACTGGTCCACAGGATGGCTCTCCAATAGCACCTAGAGACTTAATTCTTGCTAAAACACTTTCGAGTGTAGAAATGCATTGGCTTAATGGGCCTTCCGGCAGAGGGCCAATACTTGGCTATTACATTGAAGCAAAAAAGCGCGGTAAGTAGTTTTTTTTAAATAAATATGTAAAAAGTATTATATTTACTTGATGGAATGGTTTTATATTTATTTTGATTGTACTTGCTTATAATTGGTTCTTAGTCTGACGAATTAATTAATTTTTTGGTAATGGTTTTTAATGTACAAAATTTCTTTCTTTATGTATTTTTATTTATTTGATTGATCTACAAAATTACGCTTCTAAACTTGCTTGAGTAGAAAGAGGAGAGCCAACATTTATTTGTGAGTATTTGTTCTTATAATAATGCATGTATTCTATAATAAGTAAAAATATGCAAAATAGTTGTATCAATCAATATTACATATTTGATATATAAAACATTTTCATTTATCACTATCAGCATCCTCATCACTGTCATCATCATCAATAGGTCTTAAATCTCACTATAAGTCTTAACGCTTGGTTCATAAATTTATTATATAAAAAAAAAATAAGAATTTTATAATAAACCAATTACGTTTTATAAACTATTTATAATAGAATAAGTTTATATGCTTTAAAAATAGCTTCTTATATGAATTAAATTACAGTTGTGTTACGATGACCGCATTTATTGATTAAAGTATTTAGTTAAAATTCAAATCGCTTGTGTTTTCATTTATTTCATTATGTTCATTTCACTTCTCCAATTTTTTACCTGATGATCTGATCTTATCACTCAGTTATAAATATAAGGAATCATTTATTCCAATTATATTCAAAAGATCCACATAATAATTGGTTGCGGTACGTGGTAAATAACAAAATCTCTTAGAGATAGGAAATATCAACCAATAGAATAAAGTTCTCCGTTTGATAACCTCAAGTCATGACTAAGCCTTGAGAAATAAATATGGAAATTTCTATATATTAACCTTACTTCAAAAATAAGGTAAAACTAAATTATTTTAAATTATTTTTATTATTGAATGTTTTCAACGCTGTAATAGATTTTGTAAGATTTCTGTTGTAACTGCGTTTTATCAGTAGTATTTAATTTTTTTTTTTTTTGTTGCATTTTGTATTTTAAACATAAAATTTTTTTTATTCTAAATACTTACATAAAATTCTTAGAACATTGTTCTTTTCAATAAAGTGTTTATCGTGTGCTTTCTACGATGGAAGACTCAAATGGGAAAAATGGAAATAAATTTTTAATTTTTAAAATTTTAAATCATTTCATTTGCACTTTTAATTGTAACAAAATTATTTAGTCTGTGATAAATTAAAATTCAATTAATATTTAAGATCCTTCGAATTGAGTAACTTTGCTTAGAATCTGTAACCGCGCATTTAAACATAAATTTAGCCATTAATTCAATCAACCTGCACATTTACGAATGCATATCGCTGTATTAAAATAAATAAAATTGTTTCTTTCGCATATTTACAGACGATTCTCGTTGGGAGACAATTACGCGAACGACCACTGGCACCATGCAGGATTTTACTGTCAGCTATCAAAGTTTACTACCATCCACCGCCTACACATTCCGCGTCATTGCCTACAATCGTTACGGCATATCGTTCCCAGTTTATTCAAAGGACTCAATACTGACACCTTCTAAACTGCATTTGGAATACGGTTATCTGCAGCATAAACCATTTTACCGCCAAACGTGGTTTATGGTTGCTTTAGCTGCCACATCCATTGTCATAATAATCATGGTAATAGCAGTGCTGTGCGTAAAGAGTAAAAGCTATAAATATAAACGTAAGTTAACAGCAATAGAATGAAAAGTGAAGTAAAAACTAAATAAATTATACAGAATGTTATGGAGCGGCGACTGTTGTGTGCGCTGTCGTCCTCAAATTAAATTGTGCAAACAACATTTAATTATATTTGTTATTTTATTTCTTTTTACCGTTTACTGTTTTTGCTACCATAATGCAGAAGAAGCACAGAAAACTTTAGAAGAGTCAATGGCTATGTCAATCGATGAACGGCAGGAGCTTGCTTTGGAATTGTATCGTTCACGACATGGTGTTGGTACAGGCACACTGAATAGTGCTGGCACTTTAAGTCGTGGTACACTTGGTACGTTGGGACGAAAATCAACAAATCGACCACCAACAAGTTTGCAACTTGGCAAGAGTCCACCAAGACCTTCTCCAGCTTCAGTGGCATATCATAGCGATGAGGAGAGCTTAAAATGCTACGATGAGAACCCAGATGATAGTAGTGTGACGGAAAAACCATCCGAAGTTAGTTCGTCTGAAGCATCACAGGTAAAATATAAAATTAAAATTATTTCTGCTTAATATACCGAAACAGATAACAGTGACATGCGTTTAGGTATATACTTAATATTAATTTACATGTCTTGATTGATACTAATGAAGGTATCTGTCCTTCGTACATATTCCTTAGATTAACATTTATTATATAAGCAATACTATATTAAATATATAATACATCCATATATGTATCTGTCGCCAAATCAATCATATAAATTAGTTGTTCTTCAATTAAGACACAATTCAGTCTTCTTCATACTTTAAAGAATATAATTGCTCAATATATAAAATTTGAAAATTGTATTGGAATGTTAGCCCATGCTATTTACATATATTATTGTTATTCAGAAGAAACAACATAAGTATCTGATTATTGAAGAAATTTCATTGCAGATTTTATGTGTAGGATTTTATCATTCACTTCCAATAGAAATGACATATTCTTACCTTTCTTAAGAGCATAAACACCACACAACACAAAAATTTTGAATTTTGATATATAACAATTGTTTTTCTATTTATATATCAATTTAATATAAAATATTTGTTCTAGCCTGCTCAATTATTACAGCTTAGAATTAATATATTTAACACATTAAATGTAAGATCCTCACAAATAATTGTTTTTTAAAAAATGTGATCATCATCTCCTTATACAATTTCAGCATTCGGAAAGCGAAAACGAGAGTGTGCGGTCGGATCCACATTCTTTTGTCAATCACTACGCAAATGTCAACGACTCGCTGCGTCAATCCTGGAAGAAAACGAAGCCAGTGCGAAATTATTCAAGTTACACAGACTCCGAACCGGAGGGTAGTGCAGTGATGAGTCTCAATGGCGGTCAAATCATTGTCAATAATATGGCCAGATCGAGAGCACCATTGCCTGGCTTCTCCTCATTTGTCTGACAATCAACAGAGTTTTAAGGAACACGTAAAACCAAAATTCCATGGATTTATTAAGATAAGAACAAAATTGTTTTAGACTAGACATACGTTAGTAAACACGCACACACAAACCTATACAAGTTTTAATGTGTTTGTGAGTGCCAGTGAAGGTTACTGCCGTTTTTTTTTAATTTTTTGACAATGCAAAAAACTTTAAAATTAAGAGGGCTAAGCTACGATGATTTTTGTTTTAATTTAAAATATTTTTAGAAATAAATTAGCGCAATTAATTATTAATCTAATTATGTTTTTGTGTAGTGTGAATGTTGACTGAACTGTTTTATATACAATTTTATGTACTTGTTTTTTATATACATTTTCATTTAATTTAATTTAATTAAATTTATTCAATTTTTTAAAGAAAGCCAAACTTTATTTTTGAGTTTGACTCTGTGCGAAAATCTTTTTAATGAAAAACTGCAATTAAAAATGTTAATTAATTTATTTAAGAAATTAATGATAATTCTTTTATGCGTAAATGCAAATATCTGTAACATGTGATGAAAGCTTTTGCACTGAGCATGTATATATGATTGTCACAAAATTCAATTAATAATGATTAATAATGTATTTTGATTTGAAAATTTATTAATTTATTGCTTCAGTTTTGATGTGAAACACAATCAAATATTTTCTTTAATTATTTCAATTTGAATATGTATTTGTTTTAAAGAACATTCGTCATTTGGGTCCAAAATGTCTTTAAAAACCTTCCAAAATTATGACATAATATCAAAAAATCATCTGAAGTATGTTTGTATGTGTTCATGAATGTTTACGAAATCTCATTATTTTATGTGCTAAATTTTAAAAATGTATATATTTATTTTTATAACTAAACGAAAACCCAACACAGAATGCAGCTACAATTTAGCTTTAGCTTTAGTTTTTTTATACTTAAACAAATGAATTAATAAAACTACAATTTATTATTAACTTGTTATAAGTTATTAATTAAATGAAGTAAATGCTTTTAACACTTTTTATTTAAATATAAATAATTAATAAATTATTTAATAACAAACTGAAAGCCGATACAATCGGTTTCTTTGGAGCGCATATCTACTTTGTATAATTTTATTTTTATATAAACAATTTATTAATTATAAGTTATTTAAGCCATATTTATGTTCTACTCTAAACTAAAATTATAGCAAAAAAGTTAAGTAAAAATTTTTTACAAATTCAATTATAGTAATAATTTATAAATGAAATTATAATTGTTTAATGAAATTTTTAACTAAACTGACTGATTTAGATATGTATGTATGTATGTGTATTGAACAAAAATTTATGACCTAAATGTAAAACTAATTTATTTTAAGGTGAATACAAGATTTTATATAGAAATATTTTTAGTTTAAAGTTACTCAACTTGTTCCATTTAAGTAGAACAAATCTGAATTGAAAAAGTAGTAAATAAATATTATAAATAATTATATAAATGAAATTATTATCATCAATTGTAGTTTAAATAAGCAAAATAAAATTGTAGATAAATTTAAGTCTAAATCATGTCTGAGAATTTTAATTAGGTTCACTCACAACGCGTTCATCTACTTTTAATTATAAGTTAGAAACTAAATATTTCGAAACAAAAAAGTATTAAATATACTTGTATATGAACTCAAATAAATGGAAAATCTTCAAAAAAATATGTTATTATTTGTGTTATTGAGGATCACATCGCACAAATTGTGTAATGCATTGATTTGCACCATGAAATACATTATTATTTATATTATTTTGCAATAATGGTAATTTGATGGTACATACGAATATCCAGTTATCCGATAATAAACCACGAAATTTTGTAGTTATCCCCAAAAACAATAATCCATGATTCTGCCTCCTACTTTCAATTATCAATTTATAATTTTATGTAATACAATTTATTAATCAATTACATAATTTTTAGACTAACAACAACGATGTTAACATAGAGATTAACATAGATGAAGAATTAACATTCCCAATATGTGCTACTATGGGCACAATAGGCGATTGGAATGTAGTGCTCTATTTACATACAATACAACTTAATCAATATTCTCATTAGGTCGTTTATCCTATCTTTTCTTTTGTATAGTACAGAAGTATGAACACGATCATTGTATGATGAAGCAGTACAGGGAGTTTTCGAGCAAAAAGTTCTTAAGATCTTTGAATCTCTGTGAAGAGTTCATCACCACTTCTGAATAAACTAGAAGCTGTAAGGATGGAAATTTTGTACAAATTTCCAACTTACATACAATGGCTTTATTGTTGTTGGTGAATCATCTGCAAGAAATAAAGTGTATTAAAATTAACATCGAGATAATAAATAAATACTTACCTGGAATCATTTCCCAGCACACTCGTCTACAGCATACTTCAATAGTTGGACATTCTTATAAATGAATTTATTAAATATAATTATCATTTAGCAAAATTGGGAAAAATTATAAATACCTTTGCACTACTACTTCACGCGCGTCACTTGGAGTTATTTAAACAAAAGTAAATTTCGTTTATATAAATAATTTTATTACATTAATTATTAAACTCCAATTTCTTTAACTAACTTTATTTATTTTATTAAATTTTATTCAATTTAAAAAACGCGCACATGTAAAAAAGTAAAAATGTAAACAAACATTTGCAAACGTCAAAAACGTCAGAAAGCAATTCGCTGCAAAAGGATGCACAAGGAAGCTTTTGTGCAAAAGAGTTAAATTGCATTAAGTTCAACCAAAAATAATAAATTCTATAAGATGTCGCAGTAAAAAACAAACAAATAAATATATTTTTTTTTATCCACTAACCCTTCTTTCCCAAACAGGTACGCAGTGAGTAAGTTATCATACTACCACGGAAACTCGGCTTGAGTTCACCGAGCACCCCAAAGAATATAGTCCGTACGCATTGAGCAAGCAATCATACAAAGGAACCAACTCCAGTTGCAGCAGAATACCAGGAGATCATTACCAGTGCATATAATCACGCTTTATCTACTTATTTTATTTAAAATCCTATTTCATTAATTTAAACACAGTATTAACCTCAAATTTATTTAACTACATTTAACTAAATTCCTTATTTTTCGAATACTATTTTATTGAATTAATAAAATTTGGAATAAATCTACATTTAAAATTTAACCGCATTACTTTTATTTTGAGAAGTCCTGTTTCCGCGATTATAAATTTATTGTACCGACCCCTTGAAAGAGACTGAGGATACGCCAGCATAAATTATAACGAAACGGAAAAATCAGTGTCGTTACAAAGCTATACGAGTTTTGTCGACACTCTAGCAAAAACTTAGGTTTAAAGTTGGAGAAAAAAACGTAGAGGAAGGCAGTGTCTGCGATGGAATGATTTATTCGAGAGACACTAATCGTGCGTAATATACGAAACTGTAAAAACCCTGATCGTATCAGAGGCACCTGAGAAGTTGTGCTTTATAACACCAAAACCAAATAGCGGTTTGTTATGGGCAAAAAAAGAAGTAAGTGCAGACAGCCTTTAAAATTATTAAGACGTTAATATCCTCCAAATATACTTTTTTTACTTTTTGAATTTGGCAGCAAAAAAAATTTAGTTTTGCGCCAAAAAAGTAAAAATAAAGGGTCACACCAACTTCATACCAACTTCATCACCAACATAAAAAACTTGTAATATTCAAAATTTTAATAATTATCCTACAATTTCCCGGGACCTTTAGAACGTGGATATGGTTCAGAACGAACCGCAAAGCATTTATATCGATAATATTTTTAAGTGCTTAAAGTTTGGACAATTTTTTTTTTGCTCTATCAGAACACGTGTCGCTTAAAAATTAACATGAAAAGCAAAAACAAAACTCACAGAGTTAGGTTTTACTCACAAAAAATTTAACGTCTTAAGTTTCAGTGCAACCAAATTCAAAAATCGGTCTATTGTGAATGTTTACTGGAAATATGTTGCAAAATTCCAGTCATCTGAAATTTCATTTCACTAATTGATTTTTAGTGTTTACAGTTTTTATATTTCATACTGTACACAACACAACAAAATGTGAACATTTTAAAAGTGATGCAAATACGTTTCAACCAGACTTAATGTTTTTTTTACAACTCTGAAAGAATAAATTACGGCTAATGGTGCCAAATTTAAAAACTGATTTATTGTGAATCGCGAATTTTTGGATGAACATGGAAAATTGCAGTCAGATGACAATGGAGTATGTTTATTATTATTATTTATGTTAATGAATAAATTTATATATTTTAAAAACTTTATTTTTTTTTAAGCAAATTTGTGAAGATGACTGACAGATTAATAATGGAAAAGATTTCATTCGTTAATTACACTGGTCAACAAAGATTTTATCCTAGAGACGTTGTTAAGAGATCCTAGACGTGTTTTACGTGCTGATTCCGAATCTGTATTTAGATTCTTTCTATCACGTCTAGATTCTTCAAAACAGTTGAATGTATATTTTTGCTATAAAGTCGTAATTTACCTACTGCTCAAAAAGTATCCGGATTTTCTTGTTTGTTAACTACTTTTCAAGTAATAGACCTTTTTCAAAAATTTTTTTTTGTTATGTTGGTACACCCTTTCTTGACATATGATACAAATTTCAGCGCCATCTGACAATTAGTTTGTTTACAGCAGCTGTTAATGTGAGACTACCTCAAGTGCATTTAGCGATTTTTACTATGGAAAATTCTTGTTGTACGCGATTTTTTGACCAAACACGACACCACTGTCATCGCTCAGGCACCATATTCGCCAGATCTGGATCCGTGCGAGTTTTTTCTGTTCCCGAAACTCAAATTGCCCCTTCGTGGTAAGCGTTTTGAGTCGATTGAATCGGTAAAAGAAAATTCGCCGAAGGAACTAAAAGCCATACCTTCACGGGCCTTTGAAAAGTGTATGAAAGATTGGGTTAAGCGTTGGGTATTTCATTTATATATGATATATATAGTATACATTATTTTCGTGATGTAAATATATGTATATAAATAACGTGGTTAATAAATATGTATAAATAATAATATTACGAATTAATAAATCTGATGGACCTCATCTTATAACGCAAGACGATTTAAACGATCTAGTGCGCGATTTAAAGTTGTGCAAAAAGAAGAGTGAAATCTTAGGATCACGATTAAAGGGTTGGAAATTGTTGGATCCAAAAACTAAAATTTCTATGTATCGATCTCGCCATGACGAATTTAAATTATTCTTTTCTCAAGAAAACAACCTTATTTTTTGCAATGATGTTCTATCTGTTATGGATACTCTTAATTTTGAATACAACGATGATGATTGGCGTTTGTTCATTGAT